AAAACAAAAAAAACTAATTAAGACATGCGTGTCCGTCAACCTTAAACAATAATTTTTGTCAATTTTATTTTTCAGTCTTTATGATGGTCGATACTTGATCTATCTCTTACTGTTACATCCCCGGGCAACGCCGGGCTCTCCTGCTAGTGATTAAATACCTGGTTCCTTTAATGCCAGATAATCAAAGAATATTTTTGAAGAATCTTTAACTTTGAAATTACTTGAATTGAAATCAATTATTCCTTCATACATTTTCATATTTTTATTATAAAAATGCAAAAATGATAAACATTAGAAATTTTCTATTAAATAGAAATGTCTTAATTATTATTTCATACTTTTACAAGTAGTTTTGATTCTAAAAATGCAAAAATTACAAAACTGTCATAAAAAAAATACTCCCCATTCACTTATTCATCCATATTATTACATTTATTAAATATTTTTGAAGACACACATAATTCTGTTGTTTTTCTTTGAATTAACATTTTATTATTATCTATATTATGAAAAAAAGGGTTGATCATCTGTCTGTCACATGCAGTCTGCCCGTGACTTTGCATGTGTGTATGTAATAGTGTAGACCAGTGGTCCATGTAATATTTCCGGGGGTCCACAGGCAAAACACAATTGTTGTGTTAATTAAAAATAGTAATAATAATTATTATTATAATTATAGTAGAATATTTTATTTGTATTAAATTAGTTTTCATTTAAAAATAAAGCTTAATCGTATACTATTTCTTTGATAATTAAAACCTTAAAATTTATATTAGTGAAGAATAGAAAATTGTTCTTATGTCCAATAGCTATGAAGGGGTCCACCAAGATAAAAAGAAGGGGAAAGGGGTCCATGGGTAAAAAAAGGTTGAGAACCACTGGTGTAGACATACAACATGACCATTGGTCAAGCTCTCCACAGATTGGCCAATGAACACTCCGCATTGCATTTACATCCTTGATCTCATCAGTGTTCACCAAAAACTGGGGAAGAGCATGCTACATGCTCATAAGGTAACAGGATGAAAGAAAAATGCCATGTTCAGAAATAATAATGTGAACCCTGTTTTCCATATTATATGTAGGTGTTTTATTTGGGGTGTTGTTTGCTTCTCTGGATGGAAGGTAGGTGATGGGACAACTTCTAATATGTCAGCTCTTCATCGTACCAACTCCTCACTCGTTTACTCATCCCCACATGGTGGATGGCAATATGAAATGGAGGCCTTGAACTGTGATATGGACATGACCATCTTCCACCAAAGTTGGACCAGCACTCTTCTCAATTCAAAGCATCACTGCTAATATAGACCAGCACTTGGATATAGTCTATTTCCGGCTTTTTTGCCACATGATCCCTGAAAATCCCTCATCCACCCTTTTACTTCCCATTACCTTTTCAGTTAAGGTGGATGTCACTTAGGAGCCCATGTATTATAGACAGAGAATTGGGACTTATTTTATTATAAAGATTTGACAATTATTTTTTCTGACAACAAATGAAACACACATTTGGAAAATAAGCAAAGAAAATTGGGCAATCTTTAACCTTTGGGCCAGCAAAAATATGGAGTGTCAAAAGGACAGTTTTTCTCTTGACACTGCTGTTATTTTAACTACCTTCACTCTTTGGTAATGTTTATTGTTTTAAAAACGATGATTAGAATTTTAATAAAACATAAACATACGAAAGAAAATTTATACATTTTCTTTGTTCTTGAGAATTGACAACAAAAACAATAAACTCTATTTATTTATTAGATTGTTTATTTATACTATTTGTCATGTTATTTATTGCAATGGTAGCCAACTAAGACTGAAGAGATTCTATCTACTCATTAGAACACCAACCAGTTTTGAATTCAAAGTTGTTCTTCTTTTAAACAGGTTTTCAACGAAGGTTATAGTGCCTTACTATTTAACCCATAGCTGGAGGGAGAAGAGAAGAATTCATGCCTTTCCCAAGGTTATTTGTGCAAAACTGAATGTAACAAACTTAACTGGAATTCAAACTTGGCTCAATTTCTCTTTCCAAGCTGTTAACCAAAAAATTCATCTTAAAAAATATTTAAAAAGAAAAATTACGAAAAGGAAGAAGGCCTCAAGTGCATTAATTAAAATCTATTGATAAATGGTGAAACCTCTTCAACGATTTTCTTTAATACCTAGTTCATTTTAATAACTGGTCCATTTTAATCAATAAAATGTGTACACATTTTATAGCTGGTCATCATTAATACCGGATCCACTTGAATATCTGATCAACTTGATACCTAGTCTATTTTAATATTTGGCTCACAACAATACATTAAATATCTACAACTATAATACCTGGTACACTTTAATACATGGTCCACTTAAATACCTAGTCCACTTTAATACATGGCCCACGTTAATATCTGGTTCCCATTAATACTGTACAACCTTAAATACTTGGTCCACTTTTAATACTTTTAAAAAATAGTTTCACCCCTAGCAAAGCTACAATGACAATAAAACGCAGCCGTTTCCGTAATCACTTGTCTACAGTTAGAGGTCATTATTCAGAGACGCTCTAAGTTTCGGACATTGCAAGACCATTTACACTCACACTTGACTGATTTGTTTTTTATGGTTTATCAACCTTTTGCAGTTTATTTAAAGCCAGAAAATAGTTTTGGGTTGTAAGATTTTTGGGAGATAATGATTTACTGATACATATCCTACTATTCAACTCATAGCTAGGGAGAGAAGAAATGGATTCATGCCTTTCCCAAAAGCATTTGTGCGTAAGTGACTATAATGAACCTAACTGGAATTGGAACTTGGCTCTCCAGTTTCCAAATTACAAGCCATTATCAATTACACCACCTGCACATCCAAGCTTACAGAACCTGGTATTCCCAAGTGGTCTAGATACTGACCAGTCTTGACATTACTTATCTTTGGTAATCCTATGGGAACTAGTGTTTCAATGTGACATGGCTGTAAGCCATATCACCCACACATCCATGCTTACAGCACCTGGTATTCCCAAGCAATCTAGCTATTAACCAGGCTTAACCATAAGCCATGTTACCCACACATCCAAGCTTAGAACACCCGCCTGTGGTCGCAGTCGCAGTCCAGCGCCAATATGTGACATCAACTGGTCTCAACATCAATATATGACACTGCGCCATCAGCCCGTGGTCAACTCCCAGTTGTGGCGTGAAGCTGTAAGGTTTCTTCCACTAGCAGTTGGGGTTGACTCATCGTCGCTGCCAAAAGCCTGTGTCCCGGTCAATCTGGTCATTCCCAGTTCAATACCAACTTGTCGTTCCCAGCTCACTTCTGTCTGGTTACTGAAGTAACTACCTTGATCTCAAGTCTAACCTACCCATGTTGTGACTTTGATCTTATGTAGACGAAGTCAATCAGGCGTCGGGCCGTAGTGTAAGCTGAATCCGGGGTAAAGGTGATACCGCACAAGCGTGAGTAAAAATAAAATAATAAAACAAATTCAAGAGGTTCAAATATGTTGAGAAATAAAAATTATCTTTATCTAACTGTTGAATACAGGAGTGTGTTTCTTTCCCAGCCCGCTTCTATGGATTTGTGACACTTTTTGCATTTCTTAAGCGAGTCATTCGTCAATAAAAAATTGCTTTTGGTAGGAAGACTAAGTCGAGAAGGACGTGGAAATCTTTCGGTCAGCTTCTGTGAGGCAACACTCTCAAACTAACTCCAAACTCAAACTGTCTGGAACTCCAAACTCCCTGAAACTCTGCCCAAACTCTCCAAAACTGATCAGCTACCTCGAGACGTTTGTTTATATGGACACTGACCAACTCCAGTGTGAGATCCTGCTGTGGTTTGGGTTCTTTGACAATTCTCAATCCCCAACAGGAATTCTCTTTGATCTTAGGCCAGGAAAATTAATTACTTCCCATTTTTGGAAGACTAATCATTTTCCATTTTGGGGGTTTCTCCCTCATCCATGAGGGAAAGTCGGAGGAGAGTTATCCTCCCAGACTCTTCCTCTCTCACATTGGTATCTCATACCAATCCCCTCAGTGGGTGTTAACAACTTCTCCGTCTTTCTCATACATTCACCTCCACCTATCACCCATGCTACCAGTTGGCCAATGATCTCTCAGCAGTGTGGGTGTGGCTAGACTGGCCCTCACGTTTACAAAATCTTTTTTTCCTTTTCCTTTGGCCAAAACATTTACAAATCCCAGATTGCCGAATAATTCTTTATCACATCGTAATTTTGGGGACACCCAAATCCACTTAGCCCCGGCCTCTATCAACTCATTAATCATTGTTGACACCTGACATTTGGCTTCTCCACTAGTCAACTTTTAACTGGGTGGTCAAATTCTTTATTTTTCTCATGTCTTAAAATTCTCTTATCACCAAATGCTCATTTTCGAGACACTATGTCTGATGTCAACAATTTGAATAAGCAATAATAATGATCCCTTTTCGACTCTTTTTTTTTTTCATGTCAAAATTCATACATATACCAGATGGGTCTCTTTGCAGGACCCAAGAACCAAAATTAAATGATATCTCTGAAAGATAATTAATGGCTATTCTCCAGGGTGGTCCCAAGCCAAATTTTCTCCATGGCCGCATGTATTGGCTGGCTTTGTTTTTCTATCTGAATTCTGTTTATATTTGCACATCTACCCCTTATCGTGACATTAATTAATTTTGACAGAATCACAGTCCCCCTTTTTCTTACAGATTTTCTGTCTTTTGCGAAAAGTATCTTTCTTTTGTAAATAAAATAAATTCTTTTTTTTAATGTTGCTCAGTCTATCTTTCAATATAGCTCATTCTCACCTTAAGTATTTCCTGTTTTTAATTACTATGTTTAATTAGTTAGCCAATTACCATAGCTAAATAGTGTCACATGGTATTCCCAAGTAATCTAGGTATTAACCAGTCTTAATGCTGCCTAATCAGTGATCATACAAGAACCATTATTTCAACATGACATGACCATAAGCCATATCACCCACACATTCAAGCTGACAGCACCTGGTATTCCCAGGTGGTCATCCATTCAGGTACTGACCAGGCACAACATTGCTTAACTTCAGTAATCATATGAGAACTGGTGTTTCAATGCGGCATGGCCATAAGTAACTGAAACTTAAACCCTTGGTAATTCATCAGACTAGTGACTTTTTTTCAGCTAAATTTGATCAGAGATACTTACTGTTGTAGCATACCTATAGATGATAATGGGTATACCCCCACTCTCATAAATACAGTAATGAATACTGTATGTTGGACTGCAGTTGGAGATTCATTGTGGAATTCACTTGACTCATTTCTAGCAGTTGACTACTTCTACGTGCTGCTAGCGAATCTTATATGTGTTGCCCTTGTCTTAAGTATTATCATTCATTACCAACCTTTATTCTATTCAGTAACCTTCCCGAGGTTACATTTTGACAACAAGGATTAACCAAAATTACAATTATGAAAATAGTGAAAAATTAAGTTGTAAAGGGCATAAGTGACTGAAAACCTGGTAGAAGAAAGGATGTAACAAATTACCAAAAAAAAAAGTTTTTTCTCTTTTAATCATTTCACCCCAAGCAAGTCAATAAAGTTACTAAGATGCAAAGGGTTACTGAGTATTAGCGATTATGAGAAAAAAAGAACTGCTAGAATTAAGAAGACAAAAAAATAATGATTGACATTGCACATAAATTTTTGAAGATCAAAGCTGACTGGAAAGTCAGAAGAGAGTTCCACAAGCGAGATGTGCGAGAGAAGAAACTGTTAGCATAGAACTTATGGTTACATCTAGCCATTTCAACTGTAAAATGATGAGACCCTGCTGCCAATCTAGTACTGTTCTTAAATTCAAAAAGTCTAGGTACCTCAGTGGAAAGTTCATTAGAACAATTACTATGAAAGTATTTATACAAAAAAAGCACAGGGAAGCTACATTATGATGGTGGTTAAGGGACTGAAGCTGAGATGCCATGTCAGGATCAATAACATTGCAGTTTCTTCTTTGGATTTTATCAAAAATTTTTAAATGTATATCATGAGCACCAGATCAGATTTAGATTTTTTTTTTTTTAACAAATGATAATTTTGGACATTCAGCTGCCACAAAAGCATACTTTCTGTGACAAATCTTTGACAACTGTATATTGGAAATCACAATGACATGATAGTTTACAGAATTGTGTTCATTTAATTCATGTGTATGTTATAGACAAGCGTATGGTTGCAAGAAAGAAATACGACAACAGCAGAAATAGATTTACGTGGTTTATTTCAACAGGAACGTGTGGGTTTGGGACAGCTACCTCGTGGTAAAATTCATAAGCTGGCTTTCGGATCTAGGTCGATCTCTCATAGTAGTTCACACATGTTGACGGTGGCTGACGCTCCCCTGCTGTCAGCAGCTGAACGTGACAGGTCTCTATCCTGGGCACCTGTGGACTGCCGGTTGAACTTCCGTGTGACCCCTTTTATAGCGTTGTTTTATGGCTTAACAGGCTCGACAAATGAAGCGAGTATAATTAGGAGGGAAGCATTTTTATTGGACGAAAAATAGAACACTTTAAATATTATTTTATTTTTCGACAGGAACTTGAGTGTCGGGAACATTTGTAAATGAAGATAATGGTCATTTTGTGATGGGGTTTTGTCCCGTTCACATCTGGCTCTCACTCTTGCATATATGCCTGTAAATCAGCCAAGTTATGTCTTATTTTATTTTATAACATGTATAACAAAGTCCGTATCATTTGTCCTATTTAATGTCTCTTAGTCTAGGGTCCAGTTGCCTAACTCAGGTAAGTCCACAATTCATTAGCTTAGATTTGTCATGAATCCATGATTAAATTTTGCCCGCTATTTGAAAAAATGAATGGATTGTTGAATTTCAGCACAAGTCAGTCTATGATCCAAATACACCTGGACACATGTCATTTCTACTAATGATGACACAATCGATGCAATTCAAAACTTGTAGTGAATCAGAGCTCCACCTAGCAGTCCAAGTTTACTTAAACATTTTGAAGTGCTTCTTTCAAAACTTACAACTTGAATGAAGATTGCTATGGAGTTGGCTGTGTGTTGTTAATGTAAGTTACCCCATGTTACATTTTGATAGAGGATTCCTTTTCTTTTTTGTTATACTGAAAAATGAAATGAATAGAACGTACAACAATAAAATACAACTAACAAGACTTTGTGACGCATGTTGAAATTACTGATAAGAATGTTTATTTTCGTGATATTATTACAATGTCGATTTTGTATATGTTAAATGTTCTCTTTTTTTCTTTTAAATTTTTGTCTTACTTGCTTATAAACATTCCAAAAGTTTTTTGTTTGAGGGAAGCTTTTGAAACTGTCAAATCTGGATTTTCATGGAGCAACGAAAATACATTTTTTTAGTCTGTGTTGACTTCACTCCAGACTTCAGACTGAACGGTATTTAGCCACCGCCTCACGAGGGCATCATGTGGCACAAGGCCGGTTTAACGTGGGATCTCCAAGCCCGTGGGCTCGGCCAAAAACATGCCCTTTGAACCCGTATAAACGGGTTCAGGGTCGGTTTACCTCCCCGAAAGAGACTCTGCCCTTCGGCGTAGCCTCGTTCAGGTTCCTCCCTGCCCAAAGGCAGAGAGTTCAACCGATCAGCCGGTCGCCCGACTTCAGGCTGAACTCTCTTCCTTTTGAGGTGCAGTATTTTACGTATGGAATAGTCCATTATGTTATTTGGGTTACCCATAACAAGAATGATGTCCATTTTTATATTTATTTGTTTTTTTTATAATGAAATATCATCATCATGAATCATAAAAAGATAAAATCATTTAACATTTAAATATTTAGTACACCAATTATTGCTCCAGTGGTCTAAATTAAGATCAGATATAAAGATTCTAATCAACTGTTAAAAAACAACCTGCATTGACGCTATTACAAACTGATCAATCTGCTAAAAAATAAGTTTCACTGCCTCGTTTGGTGACTGTTGAAATAAATCCCTGTGAAATACATTTTATAATTTTTATGTTAACATCCAACATATAGTCAGCCTATTCCATGTATACAACAGTGCTGGACATATTCATTGAACAACTTATTAACAACAGTAACAAAAAGAATATTTAATAACTTCTATAGATCTACTGAGGGGCTTGGAAGAGAGAAGCAATATCTACTCTCCAAGGCCCAATTTCACCATTAGTGTATCTATGATATACTTTATTCAGACTGAAAGAATGACCAAAACATCACTGATAGATTAACTGCAAAGAAGAACTAAACATGAAAGCATTATATACATTATACTCAGCTTCAAATTAGATCTCTTTCTAATGGACTCCACATCAAAACCTGTCAGTCAGATGTGAATGCTGCAAAAACAAAATAAAAAATAAAAATGTCATTCTCTGCTGTGAGCATTGCATTTGGCTCACAAAAAAACTCCTCCAAAATATAAAATACAATTTAAACATTGGAGTTAATCACAAATATTGCCACTAAAATGGAAGCATGTCAAAAATGCTGAGTCATGTATCCACCCTGACTGCTTAAAAGGACCTGCTCATGACACTCAATGTGGTAGGCAGGCAGTCACAGAGTTCACCAGTGGCCTTTTTGGTCAAATGACCTGATAAAAGCTGCAATGTCAGGTCAGTACACACCACACTTCCCCATTCTCCAAGTCAATTCCATCGCTCACAAAGAGATATTCTGACTTGATCTATTATACTAGCAATGCAGAGAAATTTATTTTAACATATCTTTTATGCATGGTATATAATATATAGAAAACATGAGTATACATATATATTTCATACTAAATATACAGTACATATAAATAAGTAATAAATTGTCACTCACAGTGGAATTTAGGCACATATAAGGAGGCAATTGGCATGTGGATGGGGAAAATAGAAAGAAGGATTTGTGTATAACATCCACCAAGAGAGACATGATACAGCTCTGTGGTATGCTTTCAGTATTTTTAGATCTCATCAGCCTGTGCAGCAAATCAACTACTTTCTCCAACGGGCTGTCACATGACTCTTGAGTGACCCTTGAAAGATAATTAAATTCTTTTTGTCAAAAGAGAGATAATTAACCTACCTAATGAGATTGTATAAACTATGTGCCTCCACAGAAATGTGATGACTATGGTTTAAGATGAATTTTTACAAATGAATAATCTTTCATGAAGATTTTATTTTACTTTTAATTTCTAGCTAATAAATTAAATCTAATATTTCTAATAAGGAAATTTAAATTTAAAATTGACTGGAAGGAGTTTTTTGTTTTGAAATCTATAAACATTGCTAATTTTAGTACCATTTTTAGCCATCCGTCATCATGGTGTTATTGGCATTATTAAAAAATATTTCAATAGTAAAATATACTTTTCTGAAACATTATTTGAGGAATATTAGCTGATTTAAATTTAAATTAATCTAACTTGAAACAGGTATTACTTATTTTAAGTTTAACATATTGCAAAATTGCATTTTTAACACAGTAATAGCTGTTTATCTAAGATGTTGACTGACAGAAGTTTTTCTAATGTTTTTCTAGTGTATATATCTAAAAATTACTTGAATATAATGCGAGTGCTTTTTTTATATAAATTTTAACTACTCAGTAATCTTAAGAATATTCTCTATAATCTAATATTTTATTGAATCTTAGGTACTTTAGCTTTAAATTTACTATAGTTATCACTTTTATTTTCTGAGGATATCGTATATAGATGTCTGTATTTAAAACAAAATTGGCACATTTATACACATAAGAATTTTTTTTTAGAATATTAGGGTCAATGAATTGTACTAAACTTTTCCATTTATGATTAGTAAATATAGTTTTTATTTATAACAATATCACCTAACCTCCAAAAAGTAAGATAGAATTTTAAAAGATTTAAAACTTTATAAAGTATTATAATTAAAATTTTAAAAAAATTAAAACAGTTCTGGTAAAAATTCCTTATTCATCAAAAATTTTCTTTTTTAAGAAATAATGTCCATATTATATTTTATTCATATAAGCAATTAAAAGCTTTTGTAATTAAATAATGTCTTAGTTTTACTGTATTTTTTATTTTACGATTCAGAACAGTTTTTT